CGGCCGCGGCCCTTCGGGGTGTGAGGGAAGAGCCGCGCGGAAACCGGAGGGAGGCGTCGGCTCCTCCTTCGGGTTTTTCACAAGTCGCCAACCCGAAATAAATAACCGGGATGGCGGACTGCCTTCAGGCTCCGATAACGTGCGTTGGAAATCGGGCCTTCGGCTTTCAGTTGGGCGTCTGGCAGCAGCCGCGCCGGGTGCGGGTGCCTGAATGAGGAACTTTGCGGCTTTAGCACCTACAGACTGCAGAATTTGTAAACTTTAAAAGCCCGAGCCCGTTTAAGACGTTGCCATGGTGGGACTTAATAGGAATGTGCATTCACTGTCTTCAGGTGTATTTTACTTGCCCGTGAACTTCCTCATTCTTCCCAGTGGTGGTGTGTGTTAGCTGAAGTAAATCTCTTCTGCAGGCATGGCAGCACGGGGAGAGGGCTTGCACCGGTCACCTGCCACTCTGAGGAACTACCAGTCCAAGAAAAACAACGTTCGTGGTGTTATTTTTCTAGCATCTTCCCCAACTGTTCATCCCTCCTGTGACTGACTTCCTGCTTCAGTTTAACAAAACAATGGGTCTACTTCAATTTAGTGAGAGTAGTAAAAGATACTGGAAAAACTTCGGAAATCCCATATGCTTGGTACACTTTGATGCTTCCCTAAAGCACTGTAGTAGGATGAAGTCAGTAGTAGTTAAAAAAAAAAAGAAAAAAGGTGTGAACAGCATAATTGAGTATGGAAAATAATAATAAGTCATTTAGTGATCAAATGACATCGTTTTTGTAACAAGCCCGTCCAACCTTGGACAGTCCTGCTTTGTATATTGATTACATAGGTGAGTATTGGCAGACTTTTTCAGAGGGGAATATACATCGTCAAACAGGAGGTATTTAGATTAATTGTGAGTTCACACAACCCGGAGAAGATATTTCATTAGAGATTTGAGCAGTGCTAAATAATGATACCGATACCAATCGATCTTTTAATTCATCCCTTTAGGTTTGGGGGAAAGCATTTACCTGTGAGTAGTGGTCATAGGTCAATGCCTAGCTGTCCTGGTCAACTTCTCTAATTCACCAGACTGCTCTCTACATGGCATACAAATATTGACAGGGTGGGTCCAAAGTGGTGTCAGAGGCGAAAGAGAGTATGCATGACTCCTATGACTCACAGGAGAGAAGGAAGATATAAAAGCATTAATTTTGCCGCTTGAAAGCTACTATCATTGAAGACTTCTTGCTAGCAGACCTGCGGGTAAGTGAAGTACAGAATCGTTCTGTTATATCACACTGAGGGTAAACTTGATGGAAGAAAATCAGGTTTTGGTGGAAAATAACGAAAGAAGGAAAAGAAGTCCGTTAAGCATCAGTGAGCTAATCCTAAAGTGATGAGGTGTCTGTCAATGGGAAATACTTAATGCTTGTGCTAATGGTGTTTTATATAAGAAGGTGCTGTGAAGTACTTTGTCATTGGTTTGGTAGTTGCATACTTAAAGGGGATGGTACAAATTGTTTGTGTTTTTCTGAAGATTTATTGCGCTGACAAAAAGAAAGGGGATCGGCAATACAAGACACCAGATTTTCCTTTACATTTTGTTTGCATTTGTGTGGGGCGAAGGGTGTTTATTGTTTTTAAAACATGAATAAACACAAGCAAGTTACTGTTCGAATATACATTTTTATATATATATATATATACACACGCACATACACATATATTCTCTTTACTACAGTGCTTTGCTTCAAAAGTAAGTTAAAAGGAAGACTTGGTTTTTTTCCTGGGAAGGGGAGACCTTCTGGAGCCGAGGACATGGAGGATGGTTTGTATCTCTTTGCTCCAGTTAATCATCTCAATATAATCAACTGAAACGGGTACATCACTTCAGCTTCAGGAAATAATACAAAACCAAGACAGCATAACTGAAGTTTGGCTACTTCTTTGTAGATAGAATGAGCAGCGGGAGTTTAACCACAGCCCAGAGCTTTTCTTCGGGTATTAGTTTCTGTGGGGTTTATTAGATCTGTTATTTGCATGATGGTATTGCTTTGTGGCTGTTAACGAGCTCAGCATTGCTTAGCAATAAGTACTGCGCTCCTTGGGCAACACCAGCACAAACTTCTCTCTGTCTTACCTGTATTTTCTGACATTTAATCTGTATGTGCAGTATATTAATAAAAAAAAAATTAAAATTATATATTTCTATGTTTTCCTTTACCCAAATATTCTGCCTTCATTCCCCATATTACCAAAAGTGCAGCAGTCAACACTGTCTTTTCTGTAGCATGAACTAATTTGAATTTGCCTACTAATTATGACCTCTTTATTTGGACCCGTTCAGAAAGTCATCCATGCGTACGCTTAGAGAAGAAAGATTTGTGTATGTTTCTAGCTCGTCTTATGGAGGAGTCTCCAGAGTGTCATGCCCCATCTGACGAGGTATGTAACAAGTTATCATCGCTAGGAAATATTTTAACTGCTTGTTTTACTGAGAATTATCCTTTAAAATATCTAATGACATCCCTCAAACAAAACATTTATAAACCTCTCTTGTACAATTGCTCACTTTTGTGGGGGAGTGAACTTGCTGAGGTAGGTGGTCCATTCTAGTCTTGTGTTTTATTTGCTCGTAATAAGTGATGCTGTTAAATTTTTCACTGGCATCTGATAAAGTTACATAAAGATACTGGATTCCTAAGTATCGATCAATACCAATTTTTTCACTTCCCATCATTATGTCACATCACTGCAGCATACCAACACGCCCTAACTGTTAATGAACCCTGTAATGGAATGGGAAGAGATTGCCTTGGAAAAGTGCCACTGTCTTGTGTTTGCTCTCCCTACTTGAAAGATGGGGATAAAATGATACTCAGTTGTCTACATGTAGGGACATTGTGAAGATTATTTTGTGTTTACCTGTGATTTAAAATAATAAATCAGTTTGTGAGACAGTTGTTAGCCTCCCTCTGTCCTTCCTGTGGGTACTGAACCCGATTCGGTTTCTGTTCCCGATGATCCTGGTGATGCACATAGTTTCAGTCATTTAGCCAGAGCTGTCATTGCTTTTGGGAATGGTACAAAGCAGGTGAAACACCCAGGTAAAAGAATATTCATATATTCAAATTGTCAACCTTGTCAATAGCTAGAATGATACTAGACAGCATGGATAGTGGTAATATGTTTCCTCCGTGGAGTTGTTAACTCAGGGAGTACAATTCTTCATGTGAATGTCTCTGAAGACAT